GGGGGGGCCGGCGTCGGTCCCGGAGGCCGACTCCGCCGCCAGGAGCCCGAAGCCGGAGAACCGGGCGCAGGTCAGCCGCCTCGGAGGCGTGTCCCGCCGTCGCTCGAGAGGAGGCGCCGAGCGGTTTCTGCCCTCGTGCGGCACCGGCCCGGGCTCCGCTGAGTGAAAGCGAGCGAAGCGTGGGGAACGCGGGCAGAAGCGCCGCGGTCTGCGGCGGGGGGGGGAGGCCCCGCGAGGGCAGGGCGCGTACGGGCGTGAGGACGCAGGGGGGCCCTGAGGACTGGGAGCCGTCGCCCGGCCTCACGACAAGTTTTGAAAGTACTTAAATGGGTGATTTAAAGACACAAAGTTCTTTTATAAGGTAACCACGAAAAAAGCAACGGGAAAAAAAAATAGTGGGCTTTTTCAGCTGCAAAGACGGTGCTTAATAAAGATTCCTGCCACTCCACTTGTGAGGATAAAGTTTTCAAGGTCAGCACGGTAGTACTTGGGCAGAAGTCGGTGTGACAGCCCGAGCCCTGCTGGACGCTGGGCACAGCGGTTGTCGTTTGCTGCGGCTTGGCCTTCCGGCCCCCCCCCCCCGCGTTCTGCGTTTGCGGGCAGGAGGGGCGCGCGGGGTTGGGCCTGGCGCGCAGAACTCACCGAAGACCCGTTTGTTGGTTCGTAAGTGAATGCTGGTCAGCTACAAGCACACGTGTTCTCCGTGGCTTCTGCGGCTGGGGCCTCTTCCTGGGTTCTTAGGCTACCATCGTGGAAAACAGTGGTAGCGCTGAATTAGAGTTTGAAGCAAGTTCTGCCTGCAGATCATCCAGGCATGCTTAAAAAAGTCAAGTACTCGTTTCAGAATTGGTACTGATCTCGGGGATACTTGAACGTGAAAGAAGTGTCCTTCCTGACAGCTGGCTGCTCCTGAGCATTTGCTAGCTTGCCCGGACCGAGCGAGTGGGCGCTGTTACACGTGGGGAGTGTGAAATACGGTAACAGAAAGAGTTGAGCCGAGTGCCTAACCTGTCCTAAGTGCTCGGTTAGTAGCGATTACTATTTTAGGGCAACGCTAAGTTGCTTGACACAATACACTTTTTTACAGAGGTTCGAAAAATATACTAGTTGCACTAAAGATCTTACTATTGTTTATATTATTTTTTATTTTTTATTTTATATTTTAATTTTACTATTATTTTAGAGGCCACATGGTATAATGGAAAGAATTTAGCGCCTTATTGTGTGTCATTAAATTACTTAAACGTTGGAGACGTCAGTCTCCTCACAAGCAAGAGGACCGTGAAAGTAGTAGTTTGACATGAACGTAAAGCACTTGGGGTAGCACATACAGTAGGCACTCAGCAGATGGTCTCCCGTGCTGTAACACTTAAGCCTCAAGGTTAAGGAACAAATACTGCATGCAACTTCTCGGGAGGGGCAGGAGCAGGCGCCGCAGGGTGACAGTTAACTCAGGAAGCCTACCAGGAGAAGCTGGAGGGCCGGCAGTTCTGCTGGCCCCAGGGCCTCGGCTTCCTGTCTCCACCAGGAGACTGCAGACACTATCTGCAGGCCAGACTGTTCGTAGGGGTGCCGCCTGCCAGCAGCCACCTGTGCTGTGCAGTTGCAGCCTCCTCTTTGGAGCGTCACACAGTGCATGCTGCCCAGAGCCCTCAGCCACTATTTCTGAGGCTCATTGCTCATGCTTCCATATTTCACATGAAACATGCGTATATTCAAAATAAAAATTTTTTTAATTGTAAAATACACATAAACATGAAATTTACCATCTTAATCATTTCTAAGTGCACAGTTCAGTGGCATTAAGTACACTCACTGTTCTGTATACAACTCCAGAAGTCTTTGTTTTACAAAAAATGAAACTGTACCCATTAAACAATACCTCTCTATTTTTCCTGCCCCCAGGTCCCTGGCAGTCAGCATTCTGCTTTCTCTCTGTGAGGATGACTACCCCAGGGACCTCATGAGTCATATCATACAGTATTTATCTTTTTGCGACCGGCTTATTTCACTGAGCCTGATTTCCTCAGAGTTCATCCGTGTTGTAGCATGACGATTTCTTCCTTCTAAAGGCAGATGAACAGTCTCTCGCACACACAGGTCACTGAAGAGGAGCGGAAGATGCTACCCACATGTGCCTCGTGGTCACACGGATTCTTTTGAGCCAAAGGCAATCAAGACTCAGCAGTTTCAGGAAAAACTTGCACCTCTCCCTTAAGTGCCTTAAAGAATTGGAGTCGGGGACCAGCCCGCAAAGAAAGCAGTTAGCAGGGATGAGTCTCATCTGAGAGACTTCCCTGCAGGGCAAGGTCGACATCCAGTCAGCGAACACGTGCTCCGCTTTTCCCGTGAGGGGCCTCCTCCCCCGGCTCCAGCCCCTTAGCCTTCAGCGAGGAAGCAGGTCGGCCTCAGCGGCCTGACTGCCTTTGGCTCTCAGATTTTTATGGGGCTTCCATGCATATGAAGTGAAATTTGTTTTTCTCCTGTTAGTTTATCCTATGTCAGTTTAAATATTAGACCAGCCAATGAGCCTAGAGGAATAGAAGGAGGAATTTTCTACTGACACCATGTTTTGTTTATTCCTCTTGTCAGTGGACATGTGGGTTGCGTCTGCATTTTGGCTGTTGTGAATAACACAGCTTTGCACGTGGGGTGCACACATATTTTACCGTGAAGAAACGTCCAATAGGATCAGAGAGAGTAGAGTATGTTTTATGTACTTTTGACCAAGTAATTCTGAATGATAAAAAATGCAACAGTAAGTTACTTACAAAGTCATTAAAAGATCTTAAAGCTATAGTTAGTCACTGTGCATCGGGGGCCTTGAGGCGCCCAGTGATGGGCCACGGGTTTAAGGTTCTGTGACAGTCGTGGTCTTCCTCTCTGCCCTACAATGGGTTTGGGGGATTTTGTGGCTAATCTTGCTTAGAGATGGTGTCAAAAACCTACAGAGTGAGTGCATGAAATAGGAATGGGAGAGCTTGGACAGAGGGCTGTGAAGGGGAGCGTCGGGAGCACCTGCCTAGGGCCCGACGCACTCTGTCGCCTGTGCGCCGTGGGCAGCAGCAGTGCCCATCCCGGGGGCGGCTGTGGCAACAGGTGTGGGCGTCCGGGGGGTAAGGACTCACCTGGCCAATGGTGGGTGTTGCCCGTCCTGGTAATGACGTCCGCGGACGTGGGGAAACGTTCACAGTGTGCAGTTAATCCTTAGAAAGAACGCAGGGAGTCCGGGTGAGGGGCACACGGGGCTTCTCTGTACTCTTCTTGCAACTTTTCTGTATGTTCATCTGAAAATAAGTTTAAAAAACATCAAAATAGCATATGAAGTAGAATATAATTTTGCGGAAACATGTACGCACATGAGAAAGGCATAATTTTACATCAGTGATATGAACTGTGGTTATCTCTGGGCGGTAGAATTACATATTCCCCTCCACTGGTGTTTTTTTTAATTTTCCGCGTTGTTACATGTTTTGTGCATGCATCAGTTTAATAATTTGGGGGGGAAACACTAGCACGTAGGTGAAAACCTTGAGTCTACTAATTACCCAGTGATTGAGTCTAATAATTATCTGATAGAAATATGTGAGACCTTTGATGAAATCGAGTACCATCCACACGCCCCAGGATTTCGCGAAAGGCTCAGCTTCAGGGCAGGGGTGGGCGCTGTGGCACGGGGGCCCCGCCTCGCTGTTGGGTGGGTCCTTCTTACAAGGTTGATGACATCACACTTCAGAGCAAAGTCAGAAGCTTAGAATATTAGCAGCTCAAGGTCTGAAAGCCTTTCAGCAGTCATCCAGTCCCACTTCGCAGTACCCTGGGCGCCTTCCCCGCCACCCAGCGTCCAGGCTCCGCTCGCATTGCTCGGGGAGCACGGTGCGCCCGGCTTGCGGGGCCTGTTCCTCTTTTTGGCCAGCTCTAGCTGTGGGGAGGGCTTTCCTCATTTGGAGACCAGAGCTGGTCCCTTTCTCTGTTCTCAGAGATGTACAGAATGTGCCCCACCCAAGACGGGCAATGAGGGACTTTAGAAGAGCCACCCTGCCCTCGGATGACCTGTTCTTTCCCAGCACAGGTCTTTCCCCCAAGCTCCAGCCCGCTGCACAGACTGCTCCCTCCTGGCCCCTGCGTTTGTCTGTCCCCGTGTGTGTGTGTCCGTCCCTGGGCGCCTCGGACTCAGCGCTCCCACAGCACGACTGCTCTCTCCTTGCTCCTCCAGGACGAGGGTGCACGCTGCTGTTTGTCTCTACTACCGGTGACAAGCAAATCACGGCTTTATTTTTCTCTTTCGTAAAAGCAGTGCTGGGTTATGAGTGGGTGGCCGCCCCGTGGGGCCAGCAAGGACCCAGACTGCTGTCTTGTGATAGCAAACCCAGTCTGTAGAGCCGTAGCCCAGCAGCGTTTCACTTTTCTTGCGGTCCGTCCATGACGCTGTCTCGGGCCGGAGCTGCCTTCCTGCTTTGCTCCGTCATCCTTGCCCTGCGGCTTTCACCCCTGTGCTGGTCACCTCAGGGTCGCAGGACGACTCCAGGCAGGGGGAGGGGGAAGGGGAAACAGCAGGCATCCTCGCCTGGCTCACGCGGCCTTCTTGTTCTGAGCTCTTCAGGAAGCCCCACCCAGCAGCTCCCACCTCATCGCCTGGAATCCGGCCACCGGCCACCACTAGCTGCAAGGACTGCTGAGAAATGGAGTTCTTTGCTGGGCACGTTGTTGCCCTGAACAAATCAGGACTGCAGTCTGAGAACCAAGGCCGGGTGGGGACGTGAGCAGTGGCGTCTGTCACAGTAAAGCTTCCTTAGCAGCACTGGCCGTGTTTCCTAACTGCAGGGCTTCTCGGAGCCTTTGACATTCCGGGGAGGATACTGTGGGCGTCCAGAGAACCCTTCCACAGGGGTCCCGTCCCGGGAGTCATCTCGTGGCTTGCTTCAGGAAACACAGAAC